GCAGCACTTATAGCATAACGCCGTCAGCAAAACCTTTATTGCTATGGCGCATTAACATCCCCATGTTGGGCTCCATGGTGGGTGGTGCGCCACAGATGCGGAACGCCTTCCCATTTCTTATGGGTTCCAAACTAAACCAAAAACTTGATCGGGCCCTAAAAAGGGTTCGGACCGAAGTACACGTTATAGAAGCATTTGCACCCGTGGAGAAGATTCCTCGATTTCTTGTCATGCATTCTGAAATGGAAAAACCTTTATTCAATCTGTCCCCTTTCCTGGTTTCGAAGACTCTTGAATCTGTAATCGGGAAGAATTTTAAAGCAAAAAAAAGTGTCATCTGGAGATCTCCTCGTTGTAGTTGTAACCTCTCAACAAAGCTCAGACCTACTGGCACTCAACTTGGTTTCGGACTACAGTGTTACTGTATCACCCCACCGCACTTTGAACACTATTAAAGGCGTAATATCAGAAGATGGCCTTCTAGAATCCCTCGAAGATGAAATTGTCGATGGCCTTTGAGACCAAGGAGACATGGTTGCAAAAGAAATTTCTTTTTGCCGGCACGGTCAAGAGATTAAGACAAAGCATGTAATTCTGACTTTTGAGCTGGGAGCGCTTCCAAAATCGGTGAAAGCAGAATATATAAATTGTAGAGTACGGCCGCATCTGCCAAACCCTCAGCGTTGCTTTCACTGCCAGAGGTATGGCCAAGCGCCCAGAGCTCCCGTGGAGAGACAACATGTGCCAAGTGTTGCACAAATAATCACCCTGCGGAGAATTGCTCGCATCCACTTTGTTGCATCGGCTGCAACGAACCTCACCCTGCTTATTCCCGATCTTGCAAAAAATGAAAGAAGAAAACGAAATTATAACACTCAAAGTGAAAGAGAACATTTCGTTCCCCGAAGCCAGGAAGCGATTCACCTTTGTGCAGGAGGGGCCTTACTCTTTGGTGGCAGGTGCAGGGGGTGTGCCATCAAAATTTTCGGTAGGAACCCAGGTCTGTCCTAATGACCTGGTGATTCCACCACCTCCCCTGCCTCACAAAGATTCTCTCCACGACTCCGTTTGTCGTTGGAACCAAGGAAACCACGTGGGCCTCCAGATAATGCAGAGGCGAGGGATGCGTCTGTGCTAATGCAGGGGAGACAAGAGGAAAGGCGGCAACACCAGCCTCGGGGAGAAGGCACTGGTGCCTCCTCCATTTTAAAGGACGGACCGTTGAACGATGTGCCTGCATTGGTTACTCGGACCCCTCACAAGAAGAAGGGGTGTGTGTTTCGCTTTAAGGCTTTAGGAGAGGCGTCGACATCTGAGGAGGTGCCCGTACCAGCTGCTCCCGCAACCGTTCAGTGTGAGGTGGAACGGATGGAAGTGGGTGAACCTTCTCCTCGTTCGGTCCCACCTGGTGACGCCAGGCTTAAAAGTCATCCCAGAAAAAGCTCAATCCGCATGTAACCCAACCCAAACCACCCGAGGGCACCTAGAGAGTTTCCCTTTTTGGTTTTGTTGTTACCTTAAACCATTTTTAACATGAACACATATAGTTTTATACAGTGGAACTGTAGAAATCTCCTGGAAAATATTGATGACATTCCTTTCTTTCTGGATGAGCTACAGCCCATTGCTGTGTTCTTGCAGGAGACATATCTTAACAACAGCCATACAATGTTTTTAATCGTCACCGCGTTTTTAGGAAGAATCTGGATTCAGACCACTATTCTGGTGGTGTTGCCATTGTTGTACGGAGTGGCATAGCGTGTGTGGAAGTTCCTCTGCGTACATCACTCGAAGCAGTTGCGGTACGTGTTCTTGCTGATCGTCTGACTGTCCTCAGACGTGTCTTTTAAATAAAAAGAACCAACATCTTATAGTTCCACTCATAATTGCTTCACATCCACCGACCTTTCCATTTCATCACTATCGTTACTTTCCTGTTTTTCTTGAAAGGTTTTAAACAACCCTTTTGGGAGTAGTCATTTTCGGGTTGTAATTGAAAGCCTCGTTTCTCTGCCAACTATTTTGAAACGAACCCGTAGGTGGAAACTGGACAAAGCCGACTGGGCAGTCTTTAAACTTGATGGAGTGCTTGATCCGTCAGTTCTAACGAATTTGTCACCCGAAGAAGCGACAACGTGTGCTACCGAGCAAATGACAAATGCCGCCCAAGACGCCATTCTTCGCACCTCTGAAAATTTACCCAAGAGGTGTAGGCCTTGGCGGAATGAAGACTGTGCCACTACAAGAAAAAAAAAAAACAGCATAGGGCGTGGGATATCTTTCGGAGATGCCCTACTTCTTCAAATAGGATAGAATTTAAAAGACTAAAAGCAGAGGCCCGATGGACTAGGAGAAGAGCTAAGCGGAAGACCTGGACCAAGTACATTTCTTCCATAAATTGTTTTGCCTCGGAAAAGGAAGTATGGGATAGGTACAAGAAAACAAAACAAAAATCAAGGGGGATTAGTATTGTCTTGTTATTCCTCTATTTAGGTCCCCTGCTAATTCGCTGAAAGATGTTGCTAATGTGCTTGGAGAGCACTTAGAAAATGCTTTTAGCTCCCAAAATTATCGGACGGAATTTAAACGTTTTAATGCAAGTGCTATGTGTCACCGTACACCCCTGTCTCGTTGTAGCTCTGAGCCATACAACACTCCTTTCACAATGCAAGACCTAGATGTGGCTCTGGGCTCCAAGAAGAGGTCGGCTCCGGGCCCTGATGGAATCCACTATGAAATGCTCCGTGAATTGTCTCGAGAATCACTGGACACACTAGTAGGTTTTTTCACCTATCTGTGGGAAGCAGCTTACTTTCCTCAAATCTGGAAACAGGCGCATGTAATTCCTTTGCTGAAAGCTGAGAAGGGCCCTTCCGACCGCCGTAGTTATCGTCCAATCGCGTTAACGAGTTGCCTTGGCAAAACCTTCGAACGCCTCATTAATAGGCGGTCAATATATATTTTGGAGCATAACCACTTCTTCGCTAATAACCACCCTATTGAAAATATTTCCATACTCGGCATACTGGGCCAGTATCAAACTGGATTATTGGACGGGCAAACTGGGAATACTGGTAGTGGTTTTACTGGGCATACTGGGCCAGTATCAAACTGGATTATTGGACGGGTATACTGGATGCACTGGAAATACTGGATATACTGGGCATATGATAAAACCAGCCATACTGGTCACACAGGTACACCGATTTCACTGGTGAAAACGGTACAACTCGTACCTGAGACCAGTACAGCCAGCTTCACCACACTGAAAACTCAGGCTACAAACTATCACAACGATTTTATTTGCATAGAAATTTTAACCACTCCTTTAGTGGTTTTAACAATAAAAAATGGTAAATCCAAGGCTGAATAACTAACTGAAAATAGTCAGCCAAGAACCAAGTGTCTCGTATATTGAAGGCACCATGGTGCCTTCAATATACGAGACACTAACTAGAAAGAAAAGACTGACTAGACAATAAAAACATTCAGCGTGTGGCACAACATAAAGTCCTAAGGAAAACACAGTTTCACCTTCCATCCCAGCACAGGGGGGAGGGGGGGGGGCTATGAGTCACCCCAGGCAATCCAGCGCTGGGAGGGTACCACGTGATGTTCTGGTTGGGCAGAGATCAAGGAAACATGGCACTCTCTCAACGGTGGATTGGCTGGGGTGGCTGGTAGCATCCGCTGCGCTTGGAGAGGAGGTGAAACTAAGTATAAAAGAGAATTTAAAAAAAAACAAAAAAACAATCATGGTGCGGTCAAATATGCTCGAGGCACCATACTGTCGGTCAAATATGCCCGAGTAAAGATTAAAAAAGTCCGACTATACAAGAAAAACAAAAAAACATTGCATGGTGCCTTTACTATGCCTGAGGCACTAAAGAAGATAAAAGAAAGTCGAAATACTAGACATGACTCAACATGGGCTGGAAACTGGACTCTCCCAACTGTGGGTTTGCTGGAATGGACGTAGCGTCCGCCACACTTTGACAGAAGGTGAAACCAAATATAAAAAAGAATTAAAAAAAAACATTCAGGGTGTGGTGCAACGCCTGTCTGTCAAATATACCCGAGGCACCACACTGTAAAGATTAAAGTTTAACTACACAAGAACGAAAAAAACCATTGCATGGTGCTTTCAATATATTCGAGACACTAAACAAGATAAAAGAATGTGACTAGACAATAAACACATTCAACGTGTGGCGCGACATAAAGCCCTGTAGTTAACACATTGTTTCACCTTCCGTCCGAGCGCAGCGGAGGCTACAAGCCACCGCAGCCAATTTAGCGTCCGGATGGTATCACGTAATGTTCTGGTTGGGCGGAATTCAAGGAAACAGTACACTCTCTCAACGGTGGGTTGGCTGAGATGGCTGGTATCATCCGCTGCGCTTGGAGAGAAGGTGAAACAAAGTATAAAAGAGAATTTAAAAAAAAAACATTCATGGTGCGGTCAAATATGCTCGAGGCACCATACTGTCGGTCAAATATGCCCGAGTAAGGATTAAAAACGTCCGACTAGACAAACACTAAAAATACTATTGAATGGTTATTTCAATATACCCAACACACTAAACAAGACAAAAGAAAGTGACTAGACAATAAAAACATTTGTGTGGAGCAACATAAACCCCTAAAGCCTTCCATTCGAGCGCAGCGGAGGCTATGAGCCACACCAGGCAATCCAGCGTCCGGAGGGTATCACGCGATGTTCTGGTCGGGGGGAGCTCAAGCAAACATGACTCTCTCTCAACAGTCGGTTGGCTGAGATGGCTGGCAGCCTCTGCTGCGCTTGGACAGAAGGTGAGATCAAGTATAAAATAATTAAAAAAAAAAAAATTCGTGGTGCGGTGCGACGCCTGTCGGTCAAATATGCACAACATAAAAACATGAAGGTAAAAAATTGCACTAAAAAAGAATAAAAGAAAAAAAAATTCTTCGATTAGAAAAGCGCCAGAAAACAAGGACAACAGGAAGAATAGACGAAACGATGCGCTGTTGTCCTTGTTTTCTGGCGCTTTTCTAATCTAAGATAAACCAACTTGCCCAACTCAACATTCTTTTACAGAAAAAATTCACTCTGCACTGCGGCACCTGGCAGGGCGGCCCAGATCCGAAAGAAAGTTAGTCATTGTATTGTTAATCTGTCGCAGGCGGACAGCATGGTCTTCTTGGGGGTTGGCAGCCTCAGGGTTTGGGTGGTGGTTGATGTAGTAGCTCAAGGCGTCTGAAAGAAAATTGGATCAATAGTTACTAGTTAGAAGTAATGTAAGACCCGCATAAAATCAGAGTTCTTTTTTTTCATATTTTGCCATGTAAAATTTGCGGCTCGTATTATACGCGGGTCCCAACAATTTTCAGCTTCAATGAGGCGCGATCTAACGCAGTTTGACAGTTTCGGTTTCAAAGCAATATGGTGTTCAAAATAGCTATCATCCCCATTAAAGGGTTAGGGAAACGAAATTCCAGTGCTTATTTTCTAGCTTGAATGTGTTGCATGTTGCACCCTAACCTCAAAAACACCAGTCTTCCGTTGAAAGGCACAAGAAAACTAATTCTAAAGCTAAATAAACAATCTTTCAATGTGCACCTGGTGGATGCATGTGGAGCCTATTTGGGAGCTAATCTGACAATGTTGGGGAACTTGCTACGTACTCGTAACATAGCAGATTCCCTCGGAGCAGCGCCGCCCTTTGGAATTTCAACATTTTCCCTTTTAGCTTACCACCTAGCTCAACTCACATATTGCGTATTGTACCAAATGGTCGAAGGAGACAGAAAGGAAGGACTCCCCTCTTTCTTGGACCCTCGTTCGTGCAACCGGAAACAGCCGTTCTCCCCACAGAAGATTAGCCAGTCCCTCAAAACACAAATGTTACTTTCCCCACCCCGTTCAGCCCTAAGCTGACAGTGTTGTGGAAGCTACGTCCTCCATGGGCCAGTCACATGCTCGGTTGTAACGCACCGACGCTATTGACACCACCACAACTCTGACAATGCCACCAAGGGCAAAGCTCATAACCACGCCTGCCTTGCTACTCCATGGACGCGAGAAATCTTTTCTTTCTGTTTTTGTTTGCACCGGATATCCCGACGCATCGCGCTCTCCATTCGCTTCTCTTCGAGCGCTTGCTCGAGTGCACCGTTTGGAACGAACAATATAGCCAGTCATTCAAAATACAAACGTGTAATTATCATTTACGGTTATTATCCGTCATGCTTGACTCATTTCCAAACGAAATCTGAATATTTAAATTTTTGTTTCCGTACCCCTTTAAAATAGCAATGTCCGAGGTGCCACCATCTTCCGCAGTCAGGCTAGTTTTCGGGCCCGACGGTCCGAAAGCAACACTCTGCTGCCTTCAAAAGAAAAGTCATTTTGGTTGTGGAAGACATCGGCAACAGTGCTGCCGGATGACAATTCGCCATAAATGAAGGCAGCATCACCCGATGAGACGACAAACGCAAGCTGATCGCGTGCAACGAAACGAGAAGCTTTAGAGGCCCAATGAATGGAGTGTTCGCCGACGTCGAGGCACATCTCAGCGACTTTGTGAAAGAGCAATGTAAATGGCACCTTGCTGTAAACATCGAGCTGCTGCATGAGAAGGCGAGAGAACTTTGGCAAGCCGACCCCCCACTGTGTTGCTTGCTCTATTCGCCGCGCCAAGTTTTCACTGCATCGGCGCACGCTCGTCTCTCGCCCTTTCAAGATGTGCGGGATTTCAGATGCACTTGACGGCACCGAAGCTGAAGAAGACTGCCTTTGGGAAGAGGCGTCGAACAAGGAGTCTCATGGAAGTGATGACAGTGGTTGAGGTTTGATTACGACACAAATAAACATTTTTCTTAAAGGACACATGCAAAGGAAAAAAACATTTCTTGTAAACAGGCTAGATGGAAAAAGAATATTATAAAACGAATTTAAAACAAAGAAAAAAAATTTAGCTATATTTACGGCACAAAACGAATTTGTATCTGGCGCTCGCGGGTCAAAGTCACGCTGCCGCCGCCGCACGCTGAGCGTTGTGCGACGCCGCTTCAACGCGTTTCTCCGCACCACCGTCTCTGCACAGCACACAGGTCTATCACGTCGGCTTATGCTTTTCCAGGGATTTCCTTTGGGCTGTAGAAGTTTACTTATTAACCTTACTTTTTTGTTATACTTCAAACAAAGATGAGTAAGTTACTTTTAGAGGCCATAGGAAGCTTCCGAAAGAGCACAAGCACCACGTGATAAATATGGGCCAGTCACGTGATAAGTAAGGGCCATTGTTCCGCGGCGCCAACTATAAATTCGTATAGCGCCGTAAATATAGCTCTAAAAATTTTTTTTCTTCGTTGGACTCTCAATTTGTTGTGTGCCACATGCAAAATTGGGAAAAAAAATTACGAATGTACCTCACTGCTTGAATCCAAATGAAACCGGCCGCCGGTCTTTCGAAGTTCGAAGAACTTCGAACTTTCACCCTAAAAGTTCGAGTTCGAACTTTTGACTTTTCTGGAATCAAAAGTTCGACAATTTTCGAATTCTTTAGATTAATAAGTTCGAAAGTTCGAAAATTATCGACTTTCTCAGCGTAGAAAGTTCGAAAGGGTTTGAACCTTTTAGTGCAAGAACTTCGAAAGTTCGAAAATAATCGAATTTTTTAGTCTATCAAGTTCGAAAGTTCGACAAGCATCGAATTTTGCTGCGTCATAAGTTCGAAAAGCATCGAACTTCTCAGTTTAATAAGTTCGAAAATTTGACTTCGGTCGAATTTGTCCATATGGAAAGTTCGAAAATTCGAAATCGTTCGAACCGCTTGATTCGATCATCAAAACTTCGATTCGAAAAAAGTTCGCGACATCCCTATTAAAAACCCTGAATTTTGATACTGCCAGTTGCACAAACCAGACTGGTTTTTATATTTTCCTGGAATCCTTGGACAAGTTGTGTTTTCCTCTTCTATTTTGATTCAAACTTTTGTTCGTAAATGTCGCAGAAAGGTGTCTTCCTCCCCTCATCAGAAAAACGAGGTAGCCTCCCCATTATACAAGCTCTTGATGCTGGTGGCAGATTGAAGACAGAACAACAAAGTTTTGTTCAAGCATTTGAGAGTGCACATGATAAACACTATTCAAAAGCCACCTCTGCATCACATATCTAAATTCTGAAGATACACCAAAACACATAGCTTACTTTTTACTGCGGCCACCTTCCTTGGTGTGAGTGCTTGCTTTGCTGCGGCTCCAAGTTTGGCCAGGCGACGGCTGGCTTGGCCTGTCACGCTTCTTTGCCGCAGCTCTTCGATGGACCAGATGCACCGCATGAGATCTTTAGTGAATCTCTGGTCACTTGGCAGTTTCAAAAGGTGCGTCATTTTTGTTTCGGAGAGGTAGACATCGTCTCCCAGATGAATCTGTGACAAAAGGCACGCAATATTAAGGAAGGATTCTATGAAGAAAGCAGGATTTTGCAGAAATCATTTCGTAATATTGGTCGGTTTCAGGACATGCAATGCTTTAGTCACTCTAATGTTCAGGCCCGTTCACACGCTTGCAACCTCTTAGAACCGAGTGCCTTGGAACCTCTTAATCTCTCTTACGACAAGAGGCAGTCCAGCATATTTTCTACTTCTCTTGTGCATTATCCTTTCTTTCTTGGCTCGAAAAACGTTTGTCAACGTTATAAACGAGCCTGGTATTACAAACATTTGACCTCGGAAATCCAAAACCTCCGCTCTTGTGAAATGCAGTTCCAGAGTCACCGCATAGGTGTCACCAGCATGCCAGTGTGCTCTCTTGTCTTAAGTAATTTTAAGAGGTTTCAACAGGTCTCATCTCTCTTGGTCGTACTCGATTGCAAGTGTATGAAACGGCCTCAAGTAACCAAAACACATGATGTCAGTTCAGTCCTCTCTGAACTTTAGTGCTTATATATTAGTCACCGATGTGCACAGAGGGATTGGAATACTGATTAGTGCGCCAAGCGCTGCGAAGAGGAGAAATCTCGAGTCATGACAGATGCATGCGGCACCTGCCGCGGAGAGAACGCCGAGAATGTCAACACATCGCACTTGTCGTAAGAGAGAGCAGTAGCTATGCTGATCATTGCAAGGCATTTCCTCAGCAGATGCACGGAGTGCTGGCTGATTCTCCCCTTACAAGGACAATGAAAAAAAAAAAAATGTAAACCAGTCACTTACATTCCCTTGCCTGACTTCATAGAGTGGTCCAGTGGACCCTGGACAGCTGCATTCAGCTGGTGTGCTGTCCATGAAATATAAAAGTGTGTGCACTGATGAGATGAAATGGTTAGCTTGATTTTAGGCAGAATTTACAGAAACTCCCTAAGGATTCACAAGTACTTGACAAAGCATAAGTACAGCCTGTTCAAGGCGAACTCCATTCAACCTAAAATTTTGGGATTACGACGAACCCACATAGGAAAGGACTACAGTAAAACCTCGTTATAACAAAATGGGATAGAACAAACTAATGGATATAACAAAGAAATCATAATTCCCCTTGCTTGCTAATAGCGGAAAGAAATGGACATTGGCTATAACAAACTAATGGTTATAACAAAATAATTATGACCGCTCCTTCAACTTTGTTATAACGAGGTTTCACTGTATACTGTAAGTGGGGACAACTTTCTGCGGCTATGAAGTTAGGGGGGCACTAAAGGAGGTTTCTGAGGTTGTTTTGGTGATAACTCACTTTAGAGCTCTAGGCAGCCAAAAAATTACAAAAGCATGATCATGCGCAACCTGACCGAACGACACACGGTGCTCAACAGCTAATCACAACTGCTCGCTTCCCACATGTATTTACCATGTATGTTAGTGTCCCAAATTAGCACTTCCTACGGCACCAGAAATTTGAATGACAGCATTCAGACTAACAAAAAAGCAGCAAAAACTCGTCATCGCTCGCCAGCGCTAACAATATCGCGCTTTGTACCCAACTGCTTTCTATGAGAAAACAAACGCTGATATCAATACAGTATAGACCACTTGCAACGTAACCGCTTATAGACCGACACGCTGTTTACAAACAAGCCCGCGTTTGCCCACACCAGGTGTGGGCACTGCGCGTGCGCACAAACCGAATTCGTGTGAAGCGAAGCGTCTGCGCATGCGCAGTGCTGTCGACAGCGCCACCGCAGCTGCGTGACGTCAGGGCCGCGTGTGGGTCTATAGTGCAGGACCGGGTATAACGCGGCTTTTTTAAACCACCGGTTCGCCTCCCATAGAACTCCATGTATTTACATACCGCTTAAAATGCAGGCGCGCAAAGGGAAATACCGGTTATAGTGCGGTTTTTGGAACAGCGCGCCGACTGACCGGCGCTGCGAGCACGCTTCCCTGTGCGACACTAGATAACGGCACAAGCCGCAAGCGGCACTCGCAGGGCAAGGAGATTGCTCGAAGAAGCGAAGAGAGGCTTCAGTTGCCATAGCGACGGAGGGACGCACGCACGTGTCGTTCACGTGCGTGCGTCCACACCAGCTTACGGAGCCTTTACTCGACTAGCATAGGTGTCTAATAGCGAGTTCGTTTCACACGCACTGGCGCTGTTCGAGTTCTCTCCCAGAATGCATCGCACTCGCAGAGTGTTGCACGGAGAACTGGAATCAAACGAACTCGCCAGATGCACCGAGTGCAGAAAACCAAGTCCAGAAAACTGATGCTGTCGCCATCTATGTCATGGAAAAGGTACCAACCTCAAACCGAAAATAGTGTTTTTCTGTTCGGAGTCATGGGTGGAAATGCGAGAGTGCAGTCGCTACCAACGTTTATCTACAAACGTTGGTCGCTGCAACCTGTAGTTTATCATTTCGTCGTTTACCCTGAGACTGGGGGGTCTCAGGGTAAACGACGAAATGGTTGACTTCCACCAGCTAGCCTGTACTTTGACTCTTTTCTATAGTTTATATTTGCGATGACTTCAAGCAACTGGGCTGTCGTAAAGATGGTTACAGACGGCGTAAATTTCCGCAGCCAGCTGTCTACAAAGCGGCTGGTTGCGATCTCTTTATAGCCGCTTACACTGAAGAAAACTGATGATGCTGTCCGAGCAGAAGCTTGACCCATTTGAGCATGGTATCATACGTGAACCACTGAAAGGGTACGGCTTAAAAACTTGTCTCTTGGAATATCCAGCAAAACTTTTCGTGGGACTTTCGATTTCGATCATCATTACAGGTGAATCAGATATCAGCCGTGGTGAGGCGTCGAGAAAGAGCTTTCTCGAACAAAATACGACGGGGTACCTTAGCTTACGTAGGTAAATGTTAAACATTTGTCGACAAAACACGAGTTTTGTCGACAAATGTTCAATTTTTCACCCGCGCACGGATGGTGATAAACATATCGAGGGCCGCTGATGCGTCTGCTCTGAGCATTTCTTTACACACCGGTATATTTCAGCGTCTGTACGGCAACGGAGCGACTTAAAACCTGCAAATAAAGCACGGTTTGTCAGTTGCTTCCTTCATGAAGTAGCAGACGCTTACAATTCAAGCTCGCATTTGATTCCTTTGCCCGCGGGACCCGATTTCTATCAAAAAATCTACTTTTTTTTCCTTTCGGTTCCGCGACACATCGTAGCAGACGAGTCCTCGTCGTCTGCTCATCGCTCCTCGCCGGAGCGAGGCATGACGGGATTGCATTTTGGCGCACTCACGATTTCCTCGGTGCAGCGAGTCCATGCACGCGTGGGGTGTTGGCGCTGAAACGAACTCTTAAGGCCCGTTCACACGCATGCGTCCGTAGCGACCGGAACGACCGGAACAACCGAAACGACCGTTGCAACGGTCTGCAACCGTCAGTTGCCATAGCGACGGAGGGACGCACGCACGTGTCGTTCACGACGCAAGGAGTTGGAGCGAGCCCAACTTTCCCCGATGCGTTGGAAACGACCGAAGCGACCGCAACGACAGACCAATCACAGGTCGAGGAGAATGGGTCGAGCGCGTTGCATGCCGGTCTGCCGGTCGCGGCCGATTCCTTCTGTCTGCAAACATGGCGTCGGTGGTGATCGTCGACGTCGGGGTGAAAGTTCATCGTTCCGCGTAAAAGCGCTAGCCTTGACGGTGAATTTTCGTCGTGTGTCGCTATGATAACCCAGCACGTATTAGAAGGCAAGATCCACCTACTCGTGCGGCGATGTCGTGGTTGTACTCTCAAGACAGCAGAAACGCCCGTGCCGTCGTGTTTGTTTACTTCGACTACAGTGGTGCTTTCTAAGCATTTGTGTCCTCGAACATCGCCCGGATTTCTGATTTGGCGCATTCCTTGCGTGTGCCCAAGTTCAAGGTATTACTGGTGCGTACCGTATAAAGAATGCGAATTTTTTACTCGTTTTCATCGCCCGAAAAAGGTGATTAGTGTTAGCAATCCTGAACGCTTGCATCGTCTGTCAAATTATATTTCTACGTTGCTATATCGTTGCTAAGATTACATCGTCTTTTATAATCGTAGAAAAGGCGTGTGGCGAGATTTGTACTGTTGGCAAAGTCGTGTATTAAAGTCGTGATCGTGCAAAACGGCGTACTGCATCGCTTTCTTTCTTTTTTTTTTTTTTTTTTTTAATGCACTACCCTGCAAGCTTATCCTGAAAAGAGTAATAAAGCTTGAGGTCATAGAAGACGGTCTGTCTATTTTCTGTTACGCAAGTGAGTGGCAGCGCGTCCCCTTCTTTTTGGAGGCACCGCTGAAACAGCTGACGGCAACGGAGAGGCGGTCGCCGTGCTGCCGACCCGCTGCGCTTGTTGCAGTGGTTGCAGGTGTGTGTACGCGCGGCGCAGAGCGGTCGTTCCGGTCGCTTCGGTTGCAACGGACGCATCGCGCTCGTTGTACATGTCTGAACCAGCCTTTAAGCGCGAAACACACGTACGACGAAACCGTCCGATCCGACGTCCGACCGCGCAATACGACGGTCGGAGGCGAGGGTTTTCAACGCTCTCCGATGCTACGGAAACCCTCGCCCCCAAGGTCATTCCGGCAGTCCGCACGTCGGATCGGACGGTTTCGTCGTACATGTGTTTCGCGCTATAGAGTGCAACCACTCGCGGAGTGCCGGCTGAAACGAACCCGCTCCACGTTGCGAGTGGGCACGCGTGGGCACGAGTGCCGTGAAACGAACTCGCTATAAAACATTTCATGCGTGACGCTCATGGGTGGCGCTTCACCTTTGTTTTTGTTCCTCGAATGCAGCCTTCACACTAAAAAAGTACAGTACATGCATTCGTAACACCCGTTTTCAAATAGCCCGAATTACAGCTTTTGTGAAACCATGTGCCTTCACTGCGCAAGTACTTGAACGATGGGGGCATTTGTTAGAAGTAAGGCGCACTTGTTCGTGCCCGGCCGCCCTGCTCCACGTGCGTATTAGCTCACACAAAAATCTCCACAACCGACGATTCCTGAGCATGGTATCTTAAAAAAAGGTATCACACGAATACACATACCTCCAAGCATCTCCACCGTCGCTTCGTAGTAGCCTTCTTCCCCTCCTTTCTCAGAGATCCAGAACGCTTCAAGCTTTTGTTTTGGGTTGCAGTCTTGATCATCCCTAGGCCTAAACTTCTTTATCATCGAGATCGGCATAACCAGTCGGCCACCGTCGGTAAACTTTACAAATGCGTACATCGCCCAACTGGCCCAACGGACGCCCACAACACCCGCGACGCAAAAAAACCGAGCGTACGGGCGGTCGAGGTCCAGCCGTCCACCTCTAACGGTCGAGCAATGATGGGGATGATGGGGACGCGGGCAAGCAACGATAAAGCAATTATGGCGACGCAGACGGTCAAACGCAGGTACGCAAGAGACGACAGAAAGCGCGCGCAAGACAGGGACTGGGCTTGGCTAGGCTGCGCCCACTGGCTGCGCCTGTATGAATAGACAAATAAACAAAATTGACTTATTTTTATATTGGACGGTAGCTCGCGCCACCTAGGTTTTAAGAGACGAAAGCAGTTTTTTTTTGGCCTCTAACTTTTTATTTTGGTTTTGGTAAGTCTTGACATTTTGGCATCTTGCTGGAACTACGTTTTACTATACTCCGTTCCACCATCAGTCCAAGCGCAGTGGACGCCACCAGCTATTCCAGCCTATCCAGCGCCGGGAGAAAATCGCGTGACCTGCCGGTTGGGCAGAGCGGCGCAGGGAGCTCAAGGTCACATGACACTCTCTCTACGCGGGATTGGCTTCGATGGCTCCTAGCGTCCGCTGCGCTCGGACTGAAGGTTAAACGGAGTATAGTTCTATTTTATTTTTCCGGTGTAAGAAACCGGGTTCCGATTGCTTACAAACACCTAGAACGTAGTCAATCCAAGTCTCATTGACTATGGTCTCCATTATCCTTTCAACAGGTGGCGCCAAGTTCTTTATCTGTTAAGTTTTAGCTGCAATGGAAAGCTCACCGGGTGCCAAGCGTCGGAAATGTTACTTGGCAGAGAGTGAGCCTTTTGTGATGCCTAGATCAACGCAATATTTTCACAGTACAAGGGATGCTCAGGACCCTGGAGACCCCCCCTCATGACGTGCTCACCCCGTTAACTCGAGTTCCCCAAGCACTAAAATCCGCTGGGAATAATTCTGATGACGAGGACTGCCATTCCGAAGAATCCGAATTGAGCACAGATGCCGAACGCGAGCGTTCGGAATCGTTAAATGCTAGCGACGAGAACTACGATGTTCAAGACGACGTCGTGAACTCTGGTGAGGACTATGGAGATGATGATGACGAAATGAATGGAAATGACCCTGTACCACAGCCCTTGCTCGAACACCTTCTGTCGTCCTGTTTCAATCAGTTCGGGACGGAGACACTTCCCCATTCTACGACGACAAAAGCCGGCGCCATCGCCATGATAATGGCCCACGTCGTATCGCAGGGCATGACGTGGTCGGGCCTCGATTCTTTGCTCGTGCTCATCAATGCCCTGTTTGGAAGGCAAGTCGTGCCGCAAAGCAAATATGCTTTCCGCAAGCTTTGGTCAGCAACGACGCAAAACTTGGTTCGCCACTACTACCTTTGTGAGGGCTGTGGAGCAGTTCTGGAAGACGCAGAGACTGCAGCCAGCTGCTCAGTGTGCCAGCAAGGGATAGATCTGAAGGTGCTAAAAGAGAATGGATCCTACTTCGTAATGCTTGACATGACGAAGCAACTGTCCTTCGTTATTGAGAAGACCAAGGAGCTTCTTCACAACAACCTCCTGAAGCTTGCCATGGAACGTAGTACCTCATCAAGCGGAAGTGGTGTCACTGACATAACAACAGGTGAAGCCTATGATGCTCTGCGCAGAAAGACTGGGATGGGGGACAGTGATCTTTCTTTGACTTTTAACACAGACGGCAGTCCTCTCTTCGTGTCATCCAAAACGTCTGTTTGGCCTATTCAATTCACTGTGAATGAGCTCCCTCCAAGCATCCGCTTCAAGCACACCACACTAGCCGGACTTTGGTTCGGAAAAGGCCATCCAAACATGACTGCCTTCCTCGCAAAGTTTGTTGATCAAGTCAAAAGCATGACGCCCGTGATGTGGGAGCATAGCTCTGAGATGCACAGGTCCAGAGCTTATGTGCTCTGCTGCTGTGTCGACGCACCTGCGAGGGCAGCAGTTCAGAACATGGTACTTTTCAACGGCTCGTTTGGATGTCCCTGGTGCCTCATAAGTGGGGAACACCTGGAAGGTATGTATCGGTCTTCTTGCACGTGCACATTGCAGTTCAAACTAAACATTATGTTTTTCTGAGCCTACTGGGTGCAACCTCATAATATATTTTCGTTTATTTTTATTCACAGGAAGCATGTGCTACGTGCCCAAGGAACCACCGGCTCCAAGAACATCTGAGCTTGTGGTCCGAGATATGCAGCTTTCCTTGAGATTGGGGATCACCATAAATGGAATCAAGGGTCCTTCTCCGCTAATGAATCTACCAGGTGTGGCTTTTTCCCTGAATGTCTAAAGAACAGGGTGAGATTATCCAAGGTTCAAGCGATCGAAGCAAACTGTTTCACACTGAGAACAGAAAGTATTAGTCACACAAAATCTTTGTGATTTTGATTCTGTTTTCGAATAGCACAATGCTCCGCACGTTGATCACTTAATTGTGCTAATCTCTTTGGGTTCCGACTGTACTCTGATATGTTACATTCTTACTTTCTGAGATTATGAACTACATACTTTTGTACTCTCAATGCACTGTTGATTTGCAAATGTTCAGTAGCAGATGCTCAGCGAAGATGACCACAGCCGTGCCCCCAATTTCTCCCCAAGGTCTGTTAGCTGATGTTACGACGGGCTACTTGGATGCGCTGTGAATTAATTTTCTATTTTAAGTTTGCAAGCCAATACTTATTTCAGGCTGCAACAGTGGAAAAATCGGTGATCAGTGGCGCCCAACTGAAAGATTCGAAGTACTTTGCACAAGCATACTGACACAAGCGTGACACAAGTATACTCACACGTAACACTGCTGAGCCACAAGTTTTGTGGTTGCTGTGTAATCTCAAGAGTAAGACAAGACTGTTCCCTTCCTTCCCTCCTTTGCAAAGCTTGGGGAAAAATTCATAGGGCCACGGCAGAGGCAGGGCTAGCATTCTGCCTTCCTATGCTTGTAAGAGTGCCACCTCCCCCCTAATTTTTTTTTTTTTTTCTCATAAGCTTAGCCAACAGTGGTCTCTAAGAAAGATGCCGTTGAAACAGACAGTAGAGGCAGTACATACATGCAAATTTCTTCTGAAATTCACGTCCATGCTCATTTGTACGAAGCGCTAAGAAGAGCATTTTGTAATGGTTTTCGATGGTAAAACCTGTCAATATTCTCTGATCGGCAATCGACCGTTCAATAAAATTGTACTCTATTTCGGTTTCAGAGAAACCTTTTGGAACACCTAATTGATGTTTTGATTTTCCAATTCACAGAGTAGCTGACCAGCATACTTGCGGAGTTAATATACTAATATTTTTTCTTTCACCGAAAAAGCAGGAGGTACACTAAAAGATTCAATGTCATGAACTGTTACCAGCTATACTCTTGGAATTATTGAACTTGTGATTTGTCAGTTGCATGCTTTTTTGCAGTCCCTAGAGTTAGAAACTGAGAGACATGTAACATTTACTTTCAGGATTTGATCTTGTGGCCGGAGTGAGCGTCGAGTATATGCACGCCGTTCTTCAAGGAGCAGCAAAGCAGTTTACAGAACTGCTGCTTTCTTCATCCAACTCTCAAAAACGGTTCTACATAGGTACGTCGTACAGTACCAAAATGTCTCATTTCCAGTTACAAGTTGGCGCATAAGTTGCTCTTTTCATAATTTGTGGCACCTCTTCGACCTATTTTTACCTTAATGGTGTTTACCAGGCCAATTCCTGACTTGAATCTTTACATACTAGTACTATTCGCGTTTCCTGCTCGTTAATTGCCCACTGAGCAGAAGCAGGGAGTTCTCCAGTGAGGGTCCCCCCTTGTTACTAGCTCCACAGTCCGGGCAAACCTAAAGATGTTGCAAACCTCCCAAGGTTCGAGTTCGAAAGTTTGAAGATATTGAATACTTTGAACCTTGCAACCTCGGACTTTCAGTCCGAGATCGCATGGTACAAATTTTATGGGGTCTGGGTTTCGCACAGTCTCAAATTCATCTTCATGCTATTAATCATTTTTATCAGAATATCTTCTAGGTGTAACTCTATATATAGCAGCATTTTCGTCCACTTTGAAGCTGACACAATAGCCATTAGTGGTTGCCAAGGTTTTGCCAAATCTCCAGATCTGGAAAATCAGAATTTTAGCTTAACCTTCAAGAAGATTAGGCATAGATTGGGCAAAATAGAATTGCCAGGCTGGTTGACCGATTTTGATTAGCTCTACAGCTGCTTGTCACATTTTTTAATATGTATCTAAAACTAAGTATATTTACAGATACATATAACAATCGCTAAGCAAAATGTTATCGATTCAGGTGTCTTTGTTAGCTGCTCCAAATTTTCAAAAAAATAAAACATGAAATAGGGTAATGTGAGCCCTGAGGCAGTGTTAGTAGCCATGGTGGCTACTAGAAAAAAAGGCGAAATTAGGTAACAATTGTTAGCGACTAACTCAAATGTTATATTAACTTTTCAGTTTTTCACTTGAGTGCACCTAATATGTCTAGAGGATGTAGGCTTGACCTCAATATGGTCTAACGGTGCCATTAAATTTTGATTAAAGAATTTGTGGTAGGCACTATGGGGTCGAGAAATGTCACGGTACTGAGCATCGGACTGAAACAAAGCGGACAATCGCACCGGTAATGTCATCGCTTTGCATGACACTGCTGACGTCCCCTGTGGCGGGGCACGTGAATCGACGTTATTGCAGCCGGCTTCACTTAAACAAGCCAAGCCGGCTGCGATAGCTTCAACCCACGTGCCCGCACCGCAGCTGACATCAGCAGTGTGACACAAAGCAATGAAGTCACCGGCGCTTTTGCTCTCTTAGTTTCAACTTGGCACCGTGTACCAGGGTGACATTTCTCGGCCCTGTAGCGTTCACAAATTTTTAACGAGAATTTGACGGCACGGCTAAACCATTATAAGGTCAAGCTTAGTTCATTAGCTAACTAATTACCCAAATTTGCCTTTTTTCTAGTGGCCACCATGCCCCGGGCCCAATTTACCCTACCTCCCATTTTCTTTTTTTTTTAAATTTTGTTGCAGCTAATAAAAATATTACGTATAGTAATGGTAACAGTGTCATTTTAGCATGTTTATTTACAAAACAACGTTGATTTTCTTCAAAATGGTCACGGCATTCAATTTTAGTTTGTGTTTTGCAAAATCATAGCATGGCTGCCCATCTTTGATGGCCAGAGTGCATCCAATATATACTTTATGTTATGTCCACTGTATTTTGCTGATTGTCACTCTTTGTACTTGCACGGCGCACTGCACATGCTTGATCTATGGCTTTTGAGACCACCCACAACCACATTTGCAGAAGCTGACAAACATACAGTGCTGTCACCACTTGTTAACATGTAGCGTAAGCTTCTACTTCGCTGTGAAATGGACTTTCTGTACCACGTCGCTTTGGCCATGCCGAAACCAGATCAAACATCGAGCTGACCTGTTGTCTGATATGTGCTTGTTCCTATGTTCGCATAGTCTGCATGCATGAACAGATAGGTACAATTTTTTTCCAAAGCTTAGCCCAATCAAAACAGGTAAAACTGATTTCATTACAGCCTGGCGTTGGAGAAATTCGACTGACCTTCGAGGTTCATTGAACTTTTCAAATTGAAGAGTTTGAAAATTGTCATATTTTTTAGCGTAATGAATTTAAATGTTAGGAAGATTGATTCTCAAATTTCTCAAACCTCTTTAAACCTCAGGGTTTGACTTTTCACTTTTGAACCTCGGGTTTGAGCCTCAAAATTCTGGGGAGGCGAACTTTCATGAATACATTTTCGAGTGGTACGTTGTACTTTGTACACAGCCTCATATATGGTTATTAAAGCAAGATAAATTACTCATGTGCCCAGTCACTTATGTTGCTTACAGGAGCACCATCCTGCGTGGCACGGGTCAACAGCCGCCTCCTCCAGATCAAGCCACCACACTGTGTGACAAGGCTGCCTCGTTCACTCAACGAGCGCAGTTTCTGGAAAGCGTCAGAGTGGAGACTCTGGCTTCTGTTTTACGCTCTTCCTTGCCTCGTGGACATTCTGCCTCTGGAGTATTGGAAACATCTCTCCAAGCTCTCGCAAGCAATACACATCTTGCTACGTGAGACCATCACAGCCGACGAGATCAAGCGTGCAGGTAAGCTTCATACTTTTTTTTCTCCTATTTGCCTCATAAAGGTCTTTTTTTTATACCGTATGACAGTCTCATGGGAGTGTCAAGATCTACCCGCATTGATTAGACAGAATGTTGTGTGTAAAGTCTCAGAGCATGCAAATCAGGTAACTGTGGTAGGAAATCACACCCAAAAATCATCCAATGAGCTGCACGGCATTTGAAATTTCAGTTAATGTTATGCATTCATTTTATAGTCTGAGATTATATCCTGTGCATGCTTCTTTTTTTGTTTTCAGAAAATCTGCTGATCGACTTTGTTGGTCGCTGTGAGGCCTTGTATGGAGTGGCTTCGCTTACGTTCAACGTGCACCAGCTCCTCCACCTGCCAAACTCCGTGCGTCAGTTGGGACCACTTTGGGCGCAATCCGCATTTGTTTTCGAGGGAGGAAACGGAAAGTTGGTGAAGCTGGTCTCTGCAGCTAGAGGACTTCCGGATCAAATCGTAGAGCGAGTCGTAATGACGCAGCAGCTTGAATGCCTTCTGGCAGATAGCAACGTGGCAATCACTGCCAATGAGCGGAGTGTGTGTGAAAGATTTCTTGATTATTCACACATCCAGAATGCCTGCTATGTTGATGAAGCATGCTTGCTAGGACGTGAAAAAGCTGCCATTCTAACAGCTATCGAGGAACGTGCGCTAGAGGTCTACGGTGGGACAGGCACAGTTGGCAGCGCTTTGGAATACCAGCGTTTTGTGTACAAGGGGCAGGTGTTCCATAGCACCGCATACACAAGAGCTTCAAAGAGTGACACCACTGTAGTGTCAACTGCTGATGGGGAGTATTTCAGAATTAAGAGAATTCTCCATGTTGCTGGTCTCGGGTGCACGCTCCTTTGCAGACGGCTGGTGTTACGGGAGACACCACTCTTTCCTGAGCATATAAAGGAATGTTTTCCTTCGCAGGTAGACATCTGTAAGGTGCTGAAACCCGAGGACATTAAGGCCAACTGCCTTTTCATGGTGTTTCCGGCTGACAGCAAGTGCTTTGTGTGTGACATGCCGAACAAAATTGAGAGGGACTAAAGTTCTTTAACATGTATACAGGGCTTTTTTTTCCTCATTCTTTACAGAATTTAAAAAAGCGTGTGTTGGGTACATAGATTCCGTCTTCTCTGTGTACTTCTGGGGCTCGGCAGACATTAGATGAGTGGATAAACGTCACAATATTTTGACTAATTAATCAAAATGTGTTGATTGATGTTTTAATTAACAGTTTAATGGGCCACATACACTATCAGTTTTAAAGAGCGCAATGTCTATCTGCCATTTAAGTGATGCGACAGCTCTCTATGCTGTAGATGAGCAATTTAGCCAGTGCAGTGTAACCGCTAGACTCGGGTCTTTAATGTGCATCATGCAATAGTAATACACAAACATGTGCCAGCACGATGCTCATCCAGATCGAAATGGGTAGGGGTTGTGGATAGAACCGAAGAATATTACCGCTTGCATGTGATCGCACATACTTCATTACTTTTCTCTTTCAAACTTAAAATGCATTTGGTGGTGCATGTTTGTGCACTTTTTGACTTGAGTTTGCTGTGCTGCGCTTGAGCAGACCTCTAAAGAGGGTAATACCTTCTTTTGGGTAATGATGCAGAGTCGTTGCATTTCATGCTTTGTCATTGTTGAACTTCACTGTCATCAACCATGTTCTATTTATGTCCTTTGCTGCTTGTTTTAGATGCTATATTCTGTCAAAATGGTTTTATTGTGTAAAGCATTGCATATTATCAAATGTACTAAAGTGGAAAGAAAAATAAAGCACTGCTGCCTGATTGCACTAAGGGATAAAGACCACTACCGGGTGGTCTGTGTGTCAGGCCCAGACTTAAATAGACCTAAAATTCGGATTTCTGAAGTACAACACTGTAATTTACCATACAAGTTCAGCTAGGTGGTGGAAATTTTATATGTGATAATATTGATGAAACTTGCTCGAGTCAAAAGTTACAAATAAAAACATAAAAAGTTGCATGAGCCGACATGTGGTTAAGCCTTTTCCTCTCAAAGCTAGAAAACGTTCTGGTCCACTGGAACGTTTTATGAACAAAAACGGGGAACACCAGTAAGATGAGAGCTTTTTCTTTCCCTTGCACTTTTTGTTAAATAAAACGTTTTAATGGCCTACGAGGATGCTTTTTTGGTTTCGGAATGAGTATTCTTGTGTATTCCTTCGTAACTTTTGACTGAGCCAAGTATTTTTTATCACATCACTAATGAAATCCACGACCTTGCGAAACTAAGGTAGTAAAGTACAGTGCCATAGTTTACAGATCTGATTTTTGCTATAGGTCTCGGACCGACATATGCTGTTATATGAAAGTATTGACGTCGGGTATCTCAAAGGATGGTAATTGACTGAGTGATTTATTTGCACTTAAATTGGTCCGTACACGGCGGTCTGCCAAGCAAAGCAGATAGGCAAAAACCCTTACGCGTGTGTCTCTGCCAGCCTGCTGCTGTGTCCGTTGGGAGTAATACTACCCAGCTTTAGAATTAAGCATTAAAATTATGATGGCGGTGATGATGGAGGTGGTGGTGATGACGATGATGTTGCTGGTGGCGGTGGCAATGGTGATGATTCAAGAGGAGAGGGTGACGGAGTGAAGATCATGATGTCTGCAGATGCGAAGGCATTCGTCTCGCAAATACCTTGCAAATTAAGTTCCCGGGATTCATCGTGTGATGTGGGCAGAGGGCTACGAGAAGCTAATGGGATGGTCAAAAAGTCTCTAATGGCGGCGGGCAGTAGGGATTCGCTGTGACGAACAGTCCTGCCTCGAAGAAGTTCGAGCTGACCTGATCTTCTACCGAGACGCACGGCGGCCGATAGGCGAGTCCCCGAAAGAGATTCATTGAGCAATCGGCACAGCACGCAGACTCGAGAAATCTTTCGTCTCTGATCGAGGGGCCGCCAGCCAAGTTTTCTGAGCCGTGCGTGGTACGGCACGTCAGTCGTGCCAGGGACCAGGCGCAAATTTTGCGGGTTGCACGGCGCTGCACGCTCTACAGTCTCTCAATTAGATGTTGTTGAGGGGGAGACCAAACTGCATGCAGAGCAGTATTCCAATGAAGGCAGGACTAAGGATGTATATTGTGCCTGCAGGACCGCTGGCCCACCTGGCCTTGCGACGCGGGTGATGAGGCCAAGCGTCCTGCAAGACTGCGCGATAATGCCGGCAATATGTGCGGAAAAATCCAAGTTTTGGGAAAACGTGACACCTAAGATAGGCAGGTGGTCTGATGTGCGCAGTGGAGTGCCTGCTACAGTATATACAAGGCAATTGTCTGTTTTTTGCAGTTTGAGAAACGTATCACGGAACTCTTGGATGCGCTCAGGCTTAGGTGTTGTCTCGAGATCCATCTCTCTACATCTTCTAGATGGTTTTGCAAGTGACGTGCGTCAGACTGGGACGAAATTGTCATCGCGATTGATGTATCGTCTGCGTATTGCACTAGGATACACTTGTCATTGCGTGGCATGTCGTTCACGAATATGAGAAAGAGCGTCGGAGCGAGGACAGAGCCCTGTGGCACTCCTGATGACATGACCCTCTCTGTAGAGCGTGCCCCACAGTACACAACTTGTTGGCTGCGATTCTGCAGAAAGCTTGATATCCAGGTGAATAGGAAATCGTGTATGCCTGCGTGTGTAAGCTTCTCAAGCAGGAGGTTAATGTCGAGCATATCAAATGCATTGCTTAGGTCAAGTTGGATTAGATCTCTCATGGTTCGATTATCCATGTGATCACTGATAAAATGGGTAATAGTTGCCAGTGCTGATTCGCAGCTGCGACCTCTTCGAAAGCCATTCTGACTGTCGGAGAGATAGCCGGATTCTTCAACGTGGTTGAGAAGCTGGCTGTTAACTATCCTTTCAAATGTTCGACAGACAATCGAGGTGATTGACACAGGACGGTAATATTTTGGTTCATTCGTCGGCTTCCTTTTCCCTTGTGTAGCGGAGTGACCAAAGCTCATTGCCACGTTCCTGGCACAGTACTACTGTCGAACAGCCTTTGCAGAATCTGGCAGGTGGTCGGCAGCATTAGCGGACAGAGCCTTTTGAACCACGTCGGCGTGGTTCAAAGTTCAAAGAAAGTAATGCCATTGTGAAATTGCTTTCTAAAAGTAGCCGCCTCGGTGGCTCCGAGGCGAGAGCGTCGGCCTACGGATCCCCATGTGGCGGGTTCGAATCCCGGCCGAGGTGCCCGCAATCTGACGGAGGCTTATTGTGGAGAAGACGCCGTGTAACCGAGCTTTCGGTTGCACGTCAAAAGATCCCCAGGTGGTCGAAATTAATCCTCAGTCCTCCGCTGGGGCGTGCCAGATGCCCGTCGTTGGTTTGGCACGTAAAACCCCCAAATTTTTGACTTTCTAAAAGTAATGTAAATTGCAATGAATTACTTTTTGTCCAGTAGTTCTAATTGTAATTACCTTATTTCGGACAAAGGTATAGTTTTGCTTGTTTAGACCACAGCTCTGGGAAGCTGGAGCAAAAGGCGGCAAACGTTGTAACTATAATTAAATTACATTTATGAAGTAATTTACCAAAGTGTGCTGCTAGGCAGATTATAAAACAACCTTTCTTCGGTATATATACACGATTTTGAATAGTTCAACTGCCTGTTAGAGGAGCTCGATTTCCAATTTGAACAGTTTGACTACCAGTTTGAGCAGTTAGCTACCAGTTTGATCAGTTCCACCACAATGCTCTGCTACAAGTTTGAAAAACAGTTTGATTATCAGTGTAACCAGTTCAGTCACCATTTTGAACAGTTTGAATACCAGTAGGACCAGTTCTGCTACCACTTTCACCTGTCTAGCACTCAGTTTAGCCTGTTTGGCAAGTTCAGCTGCCTGTTTCCCCAGTTTGGCAAGTTTTGCTTCCCATTTGGCAAGTTCCGCTGCCCGTTTTGCAATTTTGCTTCCTTTTTGGCAAGTTTAGCAGCCTGTTTGGCCAGTTTTGTTTCCTGTTTAGCCAGTTCGGGAACCTGTTTGGCAGGTTTGGCTGCCTGTTTGGCAAGTTTGTCTGCATGGTTGGCAAGTCTGGCTGCCTGTTTGGCAGGTTAAGGTGCCAGTTTGGCTTGTTAATGTTCCAATTCGGCCAGTTTGTTTTCTTATATCGCCAGTTTAATCAGTTCGATTTCCATTTTGCCCAGTTCAAATTCGGGTATGCCGGGTTGAGAATCATACTGTTTTTTTCAATAGGGGGGGCTTTCGAGAAGGGCGGTCTACTTTGGACCACATAGTTCGTCTGGAAACAACTATACGTGAAGCTTTCGTAAATAGGCAACATTGTGTCTCTTTCTTCTTCGACCTGGAGAAAGCATATGATACAAAATGGCGGTATGGTATCCTTCATGATTTGTATGCCTCTGGTGTGCATGGTCGCATGTTGCGGTGTATAAGCAGTTTTCTCACAGGTCGCTCTCTTCAAGTTCGACTTGGCACCACACTATTCGACCAGTACGTCAAGGAAAAAGGTGTTCCGCAAGGAGGTGTATTAAGTGTCACCTTGTTTGCCGTAAAGATTTACTCGTTGTCAAAGGTAATTTCACCTTCCGTTTTATACTCCCTCTACGTGGATGATATCCACATTCCGGTTTCTTGTAATTTGTCTAGCTGTGAGCGGCAACTGCAGCTTACCATCAACAAAATTAGAAAGTGGGCTGACGAAAATGGGTTTAATTTTTCGCCTGAGAAGACTATCTGTGTGCCATTTTCTCTGCGTCGGGGGCTGTTTCTAGATCCAGAACTGACGTAAAACAGGGTTCCTATTAGTGTAAAAACAGAGCATAAATATTTGGGCATAACGCTTGACAAAAAGTTAAACTTCTTTTCCCACCTGAAGGGCCTGAAAAAGAAGTGACTTAAATCAGCCAATATTCTTAGAGTCTTAGCGCACAAGTCATAGGGATCCGATAGAATATGTCTCCTACGCCAATACAACAACTCCCTTATCCGATCACGTCTGGACTATTGTGCTATAGTTTACGACTCAGCGAGGCCTTCTGCACTCAAAATATTGGATCCTGTACATCATCTCGGCTTAAGGCTCGCTACAGCTGCTTTCCACACATCGCCCATTCCTAGCTTGTGCGCTGAATCTAATCAGATGTCACTTAGGCACGTACAACGTTATCTTCCTGTTACTTATGCGTCCAGAATCGTGTCCTATCCAAATCACCCAACTTATGGTGCTTTGCAACATTCTTGGTTTGCTCGTCTTTTCGAACATAAGCCCAGGTTTGTACCGCCTTTAAGCCTTCGCCTTGAGGGCATTTGTACATCTCTTGACCTTACCCTTGACGAGGCCGACCTTTTGCAGAAGGGTGAGAATGAAGCTTCGTGGAGTACGCTGCCCGTCTTTGTGATTGGTATGTTACTATATTTAATAAACATAACATCCCCCAGAGGTGATTCAGCAAGAATTCCTTGAGGTGCAGAAGAAGTATGGTAACTACTCGCAATTTCATACCGATGGTTCCAAATCATTGCATTTTGTAGGATCAGCA